CCTTTTGGTTATTGTTGACCGATACATTTGTGTGTGTTGTACTTGGTGCTGTAGTCTAGTGCTCTTGCGCGTAAACGGTGGGTTTTACGGTAGTTGGTGTTGTGCCTGTAAATGGAGACACGGTGATTCATTAAACCAGCGCGGCTAACTAAGAACATCTTCATCTCATTTCACTTGGTGGTTTCTTTAGCTGTACTTTCAATTCAATTAATTTTATTTTGTAGAGCCCAAAATCGCAAATTACAAATTTGCCTCAGAGGGCTTTACAGTCCGTACACATCCGACATCCTCTGTCCTTAAACCCTCACATGACACCGGAAAAAAACGCCAAACAATGAAAACACGCATGGGGACAAAGGGAAGAAACCTGAGTGAGGACGTCAGAGGATCCGTCCCCTGATGGACAGACTACAATGATGTCATGTGGACAGAATGTGTACATTTACTTAACTTGCGCTACAATAATGGTGATAATTTGTTGAGCTTCAAGTGAACATGGGTGTGTTTGGCTGTGAGTGGAGTGCAGACAACAAGTTCTGACGTTAAAACAAATCCTGTTAAATTTACTGATTTGTACTTTTCTTTATTTTTTTATAAATTATTATTACAGACCAACCTGTGCTTTCTGAAGTATTTTTGCAATGCGAATTTGCAGTTCTGTTCTGTTTTAAATGGTTGGAGATTAAAACTTTTTAATGCCGTTTTTTTTTTAATCCGATTTATCGATTAATCAAAGAAATAATCGACCGATTAATCGATTATCAAAATAATCATTAGTTGCAGCCCTAGACATTTAATACATTGTAATAACGTTATAAGTCACCTTTGCTCAATGATAAGTTAAGAACCAGAAGGAAAACAAGCCGGGAATCTGTTTCTATACGTCAATTTTAAATTCTTCTTTCGTGTTAGCTAGTTTTGTCAAGTTGCATGTCGAGGCAAAGACAGTAAATATGTATTTATGTATATTTATGTATATATATATATATATATATATATATACGCACACACACACACACACACACACACACACACACACATAAATATATTGATATATCCAGGAAGACACCGGAACCAGAGACGGCTGATCAGTAAGTGCAGTTAAATGTTCACAGGACTTCTAAAAGCGACATTTAAAACAAAACATGCACACAAACACACACAAGCGTCGACCGCGTCTGGAGGACTTGCTGTGAAAACAACAACTCAAGCCTCATGTGGCTGCAGCTGACTGAACCTCCTAGCAAGGCAACAGAAGGATGCTCCTGGGGAGCTGGAGACGGGAGGAGCACCGGGTCTCCACCCGAGGCCTTTTACCACCCAGTGTGTGTGCGTGTCAATGCAGCACAGAGCCACAACAACGAGGGGCCCTGCAGGCCTTTTAGGGTGGGTCTGTTTGTGTGTTTGTGTGCACAAATGCGCAAAGAAGCATCGGCCATCCGATGGCGCAAAACTGTCTCTGCGTGGTGCGCAAGACGCTGCACAGCGAGCACGGACGTTTCAGTGGGGTGTGGATGAGGAAGAGGAGGAGGAGGAAGACGAGGGATGTCAATGGGACCAAAGAATACGCAAAGAGGAGGATATAATGAATGGATGTGAAGGACTTCAGAGAGATAATCTAGTCCCAGATCGCACCGGCCCCCCGGGGGATAAACGTGTTCCTGCCACTGTGAGGGGGGGGGGGGGTATAAATGCATGTTTATGCTCCAGTTTCCGCCCGTCACACACACACACACACACACACACGCACACACACACCAACCTTGTAGACTTGTCCATA